GAGCCACTGATGACAGAGAAGGAATGACTTCTAATTTCAAAGTTAAGACAATAATATCTAACCTGAGGGAAAACAGAAAGGACACACTTACTTTGGGTGTTTTGTTTCTGCCACCTTTATGGGGATTTCCATTTGTTCACTTATTATGTAAAAAAAATCACCGTTGAGTGACTTCCATGTGTTAGGCAAGGGGCTAGATACTGTAGCAGCTTCTATCCCCACCTAAATCCTAGGAGCTAAGGTCTAATAGGAGAATGAGGACAAGTCTACAGGTCACCATAATACCAGACCACTTCTCATGCAAGCTGTGCTGCTGGGAGTGCAAAGGAAAGTAGTTGTTTCTGAAATCATCAAGGAGATGTTGAATTAGAACCAGGCCATGAAAGAGGGTATAGTAGTCTCCTATTGCTGCCCTAACAAATTCCACAAAGCTAGTGGCTTGAAGCAACATACATTTATTAAGTTATAGTTCTGGAGGCCAGAAGTCCAATACAGATCTCACTGGGCTAAAACCAAGGATGCATTCCTTTCCAGAGACTCTAGGGGAGACTCTGTTTCCTTTCCATTTGGGTCGGTAAAGGAATTCAGTATTTTGTGGTTGTAGGATGATCCCTGTTTTCTTGCTGGTTATAAGTTGAGGGCTTTTCAAACCTTCAAGAGGCCACTGCATTTCTTGGAATGTAGCCCCTTCGTCCATTTTCAAAGTCGGCAGAAGGTAAAGTCCTTCTTACATTGTCATCTCTCTAACTTTTTCTTCTGCCTTCTTCTTCCACTTTTAAGGACCCTTTTGATTACATTGAATAATACAAAATAATCTCCCCATCTCAATGTCTGTAACCTTAATCACAATTGCAATGTACCTTTTGCCATTTAAGGTGCATATTCACAGGTTCCAGGCACTAAGGTGTGGACCTCTTTGGGGGCATTTTTCTGACTACTACAAATGGGTAGGATTTCAATCAGGAGTCGAGTTGGGGAGAATACATCCATGTGTGGAGAGGTATGAGCAGGATGTGGGGACAAATCTAATGCAGGAAATGGCCGTCTTGTTCGCCTAAAGTCTAGGATATATACACCTATATAAAGAAGAGAATGCCAGAAATACTTTTCCCCACTTTATCATGGAGGTGTGTCGTCCATCAGAGAGTCTCAGCTTTACTCAGAGGCACTGGGGAACTCCTGAAGATTTTGCACAGACTGTATTTAGGAAAACTAGTCTGACTTAGAGTTGTGTAGAAAGGGTGGGGAAAAAGGGAAAATGAAAGTGGGGGCCCTTTAGGCCATTGTATTACTCTAAAAATGAAAGGGAATGGCGATGCTGTGATCTCCTCTTCAAGATCAACTCTTCCCTGTGCTGTAGAGGGTATCTTCTGGCCTATGGATGATAAAGTAATAGATGTATGTGTTCTTAAATCACAAATTTTGTGGTAATTTGTTACAATAGCATTAGAACTATCCCATTAAAAATAAGTTCCTTTGAGCCCTCATTCTTCTCTAGCTATGACTTTATCATTTCCTCCCCTTTCCAATTATATGTCTGAGTCTTGTTATTTACTACCTTACTCATCACGACTCTCTCCCATTTAGCTTCTACTCTCACCAGTCTACCAGCAGAGCTCTTTGCTAAGGTTCCAGTGACTGTCATGTCTTTAAATCCAACTGACAATTTCCAGCTATCATTTGGCTTGACTTTTTAGCACCCTATATCTTTGTTGATCCTTCCCTCCTTGAAGCACTCTTCTCTTTGTTTCTATGTAACCACATTTCCCTCTAGCTCTCTGGAAGGTTCTCTGGCTCCTGTGCAGGCACACCTTCTACTTCACCGTTAAATGCATTTCCTCAGCATTGAAGTCCACTCCCTTACTCCCTGTGTACTGTCATCTAGGCAAATTCCTCCATGCCTTCCACCTCAGTGACCACATGGAGGACATGTAGACAACTCAAAGTACATCTCCTGATCACATTTCTCCTGAGCTACAAATTACTGCCTACAATGGTCTTCATAGCATTTCCATTCATTCACTCTATTTCATCTCAAAGGGCAACTTCAAAAACAAATTTGTCATCTCAGTTCAGAGAAAGCACCCTCATACACCTGTTATAGACTAGAGAGTACTCTCATGCACTCATTGTAAACTTGTCAGCACCCTTACACACCCATTGTAGACTAAAGGTCCAGGAGTCATGCCCTTGTCCCTTGATTCATGTAGCCAGTGTATCACTGAGATCAGAAAGTTTTACCATTGCTATTTTCCCATGTCTGCTGCTACCATCCTGCTCAAACTGTACCATTTCTCTCAACCAGTACAATGTTCTGGTCACCGTCTTCCCTCCTTCCTCTCAGCTCCCACTCATTCTGCACATAGCAGCCTAAGTGATCTTTTTGGAGACACATTAGATCATGTTATTCCTCCATTTGTGACCCTTTTTTGACTTCCCATTGTTCTGAGCAGAAAGTCTAAAATACCTAATCAGCAAGCTTTCTTTCTCCTATTCTGCTGTTTCTCATCCTCTTCTACATTCAAAACTCCTCAATCTCTTTTAGTGTCTGAAATGCTACATCTGGTTCCTGTCCCTAAAGGCATTTGTAACTGTGCTCCTCGCTACTGGAATATTCCCTCTTCATCTTGTTAATTTCTTCTCCTCTTTTGAATCTCAGCTAAAGTGCTTCCTGATTTCTTAGACCAGGTCACGTGGCTTCTAATATAAACTCTCACAAGAAGTTGTGTTTTTCCTTACAGTATTAATTACAATCCAAATTTTCCATTGGTTTGTGACATTATCTGGTTATTGCTCACCACTCCCACTAGCCCTCATATCTTGTCCCTACTTGAGCTCAGTTTAATTTTCTCTCACTCTGTGATATCTCTCAAGTACTTTCTAGCTCCTCACTTCTCCCAATTATTAATGGGACAATACACAATCCCAGAGCTATGCCATTTGATCTCCCCTACTTCTGTTTACTCATGGGCCTATTTCTCTAACATTCCCATTGTATGCCTTAAATACCAGGCTTCTCCATGACTTGTTTCTGCCCTTTCCCCTTCCAAATATCTGTACCTCAAACTGTAGTTCTTCCTCTCACCTCATCTTTCGGGAGGGTATTACCTCTGGGGTATTTTTCGAGTTCCAGCCCCAAACACAGAAACTCTTCTTGCCTGGGGTTACTGGCTTTCAAATACAATCTTCATGACTGCTTCCTGATATTTAAGACTTGTCTTTCCTCTTTGGACTTTGGCGGCCTGTCTGCCCCTGGCCTCCTTCCACTTCTACAGTGAAATCGCCACATAACCTCATCATGACTTTCCTTATCAAAACCCACTTATCAAACAACTGAAGATAACACTCAGTTTCTCTTTTCAGATCTAGTTGATAAAGGAAAATACATGGTCTGAAAAGCAACTGTGCAGTAACAACCAAAACAACATTTAGTTGTACATTTTATTTTATTTTTAAAGATTTTATTTATTTATTTCTAAAGAGAGGGGAAGGGAGGGAGAAAGAGAGGGAGAGAAACACCAACATATGGTAGCCTCTCATACACCCCCAACTGGGGACCTGGCCTGCAGCCCAGGCATGTACCCTGACTGGGAATCGAACCAGTGATCCTTTGGTTCACAGGCTGGCACTCTATTCACTGAGCCACACTAGCCAGGTGATTTTGAATTTTATCTACAATCATTTACCCTTTGAAAAATATCGACCTATTTTATGTGTTTCATTTGAATATCTACCTTTTACTTTCCTACTATTGCCTACTGTTGGACATTTAGGTTCATCCTGTTTTATTTTTTACAATTGCAAACAGTGCTATAATGCTCACTGCCATTACAATATTTTATTAGGTGTTTTACATATACATTTTAAAGTCCATTAAATTCTTTTTATTTACAATACTTCATTTGACAATTAAAAAAGTTATGTTTACATCTTTGATGACAGAACAGGGCAGGACCTGTAAACACACACAAGGGAAGAGTGGCAGCAGGTCCTGTGGCTGGGAGTGGGGAGGGAGAGTAGAGTGGAGTGGAGAAAGCACTTAGTGTGTGAGGGGTAGGTACACAGGTGGGTGCAAGGCAGCTTGTTTTACTCCCAACACCATGCAGGATGCTTGGGTATAGTACAAGATCAGACTGAAATATGAAATTCAAATCTATACTGCACTATAATGATGTAATAATCCAAGCTCAAAGAAGAGAGGAAACAGAAGGGAAGTGCCAAGAGGTGCCCTAGAAAAGCAAGGGCTGAGGCAGAGCTGATAATCTAGGTGGGCTTTAGGGAGAAAGGAGGACTTGATGGATTTATACTGCCAGGCACTGGAGAGGTTGTTTGAGTCGTCATCAGTGGGTTTTTTTTTTTTTCTCTTCCAAGATTAACATCTAAACACTTCCCGAGAATTAATGAAAAGGAAATTGAGTTGGCTTTTAAAATGATAGTAGCCCTCAGAATCAGGGCCACAGTGTAATGTTAGGTTGAGGATTTGGTGTCCTGTGTTAGTATTTGTGCTCCCCGTCCCTGCACACGTCCTGGTACCAACTCCGTCGCCTCTAGTGTAAAGTCAGCCCGGCAGGGCAGCTGAGATGTCACTTGCTGGTTAACATCACTACATCTTTGTATACATCATACAACACTTTCTGTGCACAAAACGCGCAAGGTACCGGGCGCGATTAAGTTAAAAGATAGAATTTGGGCGTTTATCTGACGTCCTTCTCTGTGACTTGATCTCCTGACCTGGAAGCTGTCTGCACCCTCTGCGCTCACTTTCGGTGGCTGACACCAACTTGGTGGCTCCCCCACGCCTGTTAACTTCCTGTTTGCCTCGGGGTTGGGTTAAGACTCTCCAGAGGAGAGCGGCCTTAGGTACAGCGAGCAACTCGCAACGAGCGTGCTGCTCGGGCTGGGCTGGGGGGGCGGGGACAGTGCCAGGCCGCAGGTGGCGGCGGGACCAGGAAGCGTGGGCGGGGCGGGCCGAGCGTGACGCGTGGTCACGTGACGACCGTGGAATGCTAACAATGTAGCGAATGTCCCACTTGGGTCGGCGCGTCGGAGCGGCGGCGCGAGCACCCGAGAAGATGGAGCTACTGCTGTCCGCGCCGCCGCCCGGGACGCCCGAGTCCCCGCGGGGTCACCAGCCGCTGCCACCACCGGCGCCGGGTCCCCTGGCGCGCCAGGGCTCAGAGCCACGGACGAGGGCGCCCCCACGGCGGTAGACCGAGCCGAGGTGAGGCGGGCGGGTCGGGGCCGGAAAGTTCTGTGAGCCAGGGCCTCGCCCGAATCCGCCGCGGCAGCGTCCTGTTAGCTAACGTCGCGGGCCCTAGTCGGCTGCGGGGAAGTTGGGGCGGGAGGCGCCGCTTTGTTGCGCGGGGCTGGCCTGCGAAGGAAAGCAAACGCGAGCGTCCCGCCTCCACCGAAGTCCGGACGCGTCTCCTCCTCTGGCAGCACTGTCGCTCGTCCCTCCCCCTCATCCAAGGGCAGCGACGTCGCCCGTCCCCTCCCCCTTCGGGCCGCGCTGTCTCACGTCCCCTCGGTCGGGGCTGCTCCGGCGCCCCCAGTTTTCAGTTCTCAAGGCCGCAACCCGGATTCCGGGTCTCTGGCGGGCGCCACGGGCTCGGGGCTGGTCTCTGACGCTACCGTACACGACTTAACTCGCAGAATTGGGGAGGGCGAGCTCTGCTGTGCTCCCAGTATCCCCTGTCCTTCCCCTCGTGCCTCGTCTGGAACAGTAAGAATGGCGTACCTATCGGCGACGTGCTTGCGCGCACAGACCCTACTGTTGTGCTGGTCCCATGTCTCAGTGTCAGGGATGGTGGACACACCTGCCTGCTACGAGTAGGGTCCTGGGTCTTCGGCTCCCGGCCTTGCGCTCCGAGACCCTCCAGTGACAAGTCCTCTCTTGCTGGGACAACCGTGGAAGGACACGTTGTTTGTGGATCTCCTTATGTTGACCAAGTTTTAAACGAGAACTTTGGTGTTTTCACCCACATATGGGACATAAGTGAGAGTGTCACAGGTTTAACTCTCATAAGTGAGAGTTAAAGTGGTTTAACTCTCACTTGTAAACCACAGGTCCATTTGGCAGGTAAAACCCAAGCGCCCAGAGGCGCTCTTCCCAAAGCAGTCAGCCAATATGTACATTTTTAAAGGAGAGTTGGTGCACCTTTTACCAAGAAACTTGAATGTAGTCTTGAATGAAAGTCACAAAATATGTGTGATCTTCATACAGCTATTCTCTTGAAATTTCTACTTAGTAGTCGAGGAGCTTCTTTAATAATGGAGAAGTAACTGGTGGCTGGTTATTAGGAAGTTTTGTGAAATCTTTTTAGTCCCTGTGTGATGTATCACTGTTTCTGAGTGCCAAATCAAGATACTAAGTCGTTTTTATCTTTCATCTTTTTTTCTGTAGCAACTGTTATACTAAGTTAGAAACAGAAAAATCTTCCGAAATAAGAATGCAAAGATTGTTTAACAAAGTCTGTTGTAAATCATAATTAACAAGACACTATGTTAGCTTCATACAATTGGTCTCATTATCCAGGTAATATGGGGTACTTACTGTTGAATGAATAAATCAGCATACCTTTCAAATTAAAGATGCTGAATATAAATAAATCTCCAAATGTCAAGCAATGTAAAGTGGTATCTGAGCAGAAGATGTCATGCAGAATTACTACAGTGAATTACTAGAATCATGGCATTTTAGAACTGGAAAGGACTCTTCTAGCCTCTGTCCAGTTTGAAATGCAGGCTCCTGCAGAAGTGACACCTGCTTCAGTGTGGTTGGTAGGGTAATAAATATGGGTGTAATAACTCACAGTTTTAATTTGAACATTTCACCTAAAATGTCATATGGCATGCTTGAGTGTGATGTTGTTCTGTTATAGAATTACATGCTGGCAATTGTGAGGTAAAAGATTATGTAATAAAAAAGGGGTGTTATTTGGGCTGGACCCTGTAGTTTGATTCAAGTATAAATTGGAGCTGTACACATTTTTTAGCAAATCACAGGGTTGGTGGGAGGGACTTTCCTTTGGTGGGAGGGGAATGTTTTTACAATAAGCTATTGTAAATTTGTTATTTTAAATGCTGTATTGTAAATTGCCAGCCCTGGGCTCCTAAATCCCACTGTGTGTGTCTGTGTGTGTCTGTGTGTGTGTAGGTGGGGGAAGTGTTGAAGCTGATAAATTGGCTGTAAACACACAGGAAGGGTTTTGGGAAGCTTTGGGGGGGTGGAGGGGGCGGGAGGGGGGAGGTGGTGTTCTGCCTTGTGTTGGAAAATCCAGACCAGCGCAGTCTTTTCTTGAAAAGCTCTTTTAATTTTGTTGCTATAATAATGCGAAATTTCTAAAAATTATTCCTTACTGACTTTTTAAAAATTGTGGGCTTGAAATACAGAAGATAATTTACTTTGTCTTACTTTGTAAATAATTTGTAACAAGGAGCAAAATATCCTAATCAGAATGAAGGGTTGAGTTTGATAATCCCTACGGTGACTAACTTCCAGCTCGAAAAATTCTCTGAATTTCTTTCCTTTTCAAAAAGCCTATTGCTTAGTAATTTCTTTCAACAGAACTGGGCCTACAAATTGCACAGATTTGGGGGGTTACTATCCCATGCTGGGTGGGTGCAGCCCTGTGAAGCGGGACTTTATTAAGAAGAGCACCTGTGTGTGGCTCCCGGCGTTTGAAGGTAGCCAGCTTGGGCCACTAGTTTCACTATTAGTCAGCTGTTCTCTTAGTACTTTGAAGGCTGATGTTATCTGATTTATAGTTTGGTTTAGAAAGTATTATTAAAAGAAAATGTTGGAAATAATGGTTAGGCTAAAATTAGGATGGAAATTTGACATTGCTTACTCTTCGCCATTTACTATATGAAAACTTTATGTTGCTCACCATCTAGACTATATCAACTTAATTGTGACAGGTAATTTTAAGTTAATTGCATGCCTCCGTGGCTCAGTTAGTTAGAACATTGTCCCATACACCAAAAAGGTTGCAGGTTCGATCCCTGGTCAGGAGCATATGGAAGGCAACCAATCCATGTTTCTCTCTCACATTAATGTTCTTCCCTCTAAAATCAGTAAACATAGCCTTAGGTGAGGATTTAAAAATTTTCATTAATTGCATACTTTTTGTTTGTGTGCCAATATTTCACATTCATAAGAATTTTTCTGGAGGACAAATGAAAAATCTTATATTTTGTATCAGTGATTTGTACTTATTGTTAACTAATGGGTACAACATTGTGGCATAAGCAGATCCTAAAGCCTCTAAGTTAGGATGGTAAGGATCTTCTTAAGAATTAAAGTTGGCTTTTGAATGGAGTGGGCCTCCCTTTGGAGCCTAGGCTCACTGCCTCCAGGCAGTTTTCTTGAGCAGGAATGCTAAGGACCAGCATGTTCTATTACTGATTAACTCCATTATACCCCATGAGTTCACTCCAGGTTTTTTTTTTTTAATTATTTGTTGGTCAATTACAGTTGTCTGCATTTCCTGCCCCCCCCCACCACTCCCCCGACTCCAGCCAAACCCACCTCCCTCTCTTGCTTCCACCCTCCCCATTGGTTATGTCCAGGTGTCCTTTACGGTAGTTCCTGAAAACCCTTCTCCTCATTACCCCCACCTCCCCCTCGGTTACTGTCAGATTGTTCTTACTTTCAATGTCTCTGGTTAGATTTTGCTTGCTTTTTTTTTTGTTAATTATGTTCCAGTTAAAGGTGAGATCATATGGTATTTGTCCCTCACTGCCTGGCTTATTTCACTTAGCATAATGCTCTCCATTTCCATCCATGCTGTCTCAAAGGATAGGAGCTCCTTCTTTCTTTCTGTTGCGTAGTATTCCACTGTGTAAATGTACCATAGTTTTGTGGTCCACTCATTTACTGATGGGCACTTAGGTTGCTTCCAGCACTTGGCTGTTGTAAATTGTGCTGCTGTGAACATTGGGGTGCATAAGTTCTTTTGAATTGCTGTTTCAGGGTTCTTAGGGTATACTCCCATCAGTGGAATTGCAGGGTCAAAAGACAGTTCCATTTTTAGTTTTCTGAGGAAATGCCATACTGTTTTCCATAGTGGCTGCACCAGTCTGCATTCTCACCAACAGTGCACTAGGATTCCCTTTTCTCTACATCCTCTCCAATACTTGTTGGTTGATTTGTTTCTGATGGCCATTCTGATTGGTGTGAAGTGGTATCTCATTGTGGTTTTAATTTGCCTCTCTCTGATGGCTAGTGATGCTGAGCATCTTTTCATGTGTCTCTGGGCCCTCTGTATGTCCCCTTGGAGAAGTGTCTGTTCAACTCTTTTGCCCGTTTTTTAATTTTGTGTGTGTGTGTGTGTCTTTCTGGAGTGGAGTCATGTGAGTTCCTTATGTATTTTGGAGATCAAGCCCTTGTCCGAGGTGTCATTGGCAAATATGTTTTCCCATATGGTTGGCTCTCTTTTCAATTTTAATGCTGTTTTTTGGGGTCATGCAGAAGCTGTTTAATTTGATGAGGTCTCATTTGTTTATTCTTTCCTTTATGTCCCTTGCTTTAGGGGAAATATCCATGAAGATGTCGCTGTGTGGAATGTCTGAGATTTTCCTGCTGATGTTTTCCTCTAGGACTTTTATGGTGTCACGACGTATATTTAAGTCTTTTATCTACCTTGAATTTATTTTTGTGTGTGATGTAAGTTGGTGATGCAGTTTCATTTTTTTTTGCATGTATCTGTCCAGACTTCCCAACACCGTTTTTTGAAGAGTCTGCTCTTACTCCATTTTATGCTTCTTCCCCCTTTGTCAAGTATTAATTGACCATAGAGACTTGTGTTTATTTCTGGGCTCTCTGTTCTGTTCCATTGGTCTCTGTGCCTGTTTTTATTCCAGTACTGGGCTGTTTTGATTACAGTGGCTAATACAGTTTGATACAGATATTATGATCCCTCCTGCTTTGTTCTTCTTTCTCAAAATTGCTGTGGCTCTTCGGGATTGTTTATGGTTCTATATAAATTTCTGAAACGTTTTTTTAATTTATCTGTAAGATATGTCATGGGTACTTTAATAGGGATTGCATTGAATCTATAAATTTCTTTGGGTAGTATGGCCATTTTGATGATGTTAATTCTTCCAATCCATGTGCATGGTACATGCCTCCATTTGTTTATGTCTTCCTTAATTTTTTTCTTCGGTGTTGTGTAGTTTTCTGAGTAGAGGTCTTTTATATTCTTGGTTAGGTTTATTTCT